ACTCGCGCATGCTACCGGTGGCGTATGCGCTGCTCAGTTCTCCCTGTCGCACGTGGGCCACATGCTGGACGGCACAAAGTGTGGCGCAGCGCAGCAGCACGACGGCGCCGCAGCTCGCCAGGCACGGGAGCGCCTCATTGAGCTGTACGTTGTGCGCCCGGTCAATCTGCCGCAGGAACCCGACAACATGTTTGCAGCGGATGAGGCCAACGCCAGTTGTTTGGCGTGGCTCTGCCCGGCCTGTATGGCGGTGATGGTGCGGCGTCCCGCCGAGGAAGAGACAGTGCGGGGGTGCCCGTACTGTGCCGTCCAGAACGGCACCAACGAGTGCTCCTAAAAAAAAGGACAAACACGCACATTCACATCTTGAAAGCAAACAAAAAAAAAACAGAAAAGGAAAGAACAGAAGAAAAAGAAACTGACGTTCAATTTGTCTATGATGCGATTCCTATGGTTTTTGCTTTCTTTTGCGCCTGGGGCTTTTTCCTTCCGATCTTTTCTTGCGGAGCTCTTTTTTTTTTTCTCTCTGCTTTCTGTTTACTGCGCGTGTGAATGAGCCAGAACCAGAGAGAGGGTTTCGTACTGTAAAGCTGGAACATAGGGGCTTTGTTGGGATTTAATAGTGGATGGCGTACCGCCCTACCTCACCGGCAGAAGGGACTGCAAAGATTCTGTCGTCTAATATTCACACGATGACAGCAGACAAAAATCTTCGCGTCCGGTCTCTCACCATTGCCCTGGTGGGCCCCACGGCGGTGGCTCTCGCCGCGTACAACAAATATACCTGTACACTTCTTATTTGGGTGTTCTTCTTTTTCGGCATGCTGGAATGGTCTGGAATAAAACGGCATATCAAGGTGGCGTTGCTGATGAACTGTAGCAGTAGCAGTAGCAGCAGCAGCAGTTGCAATAACAACAACAAGAACAGAGACCACGAAGAAGGATGCAAGTCGCTCCCTAAGGATTACGCTACACCAGTTGCCCCACATAATATGGTGGTGATAATCAAAACTGTTCTTTCATCATGTGTCGCAATTGCAGCGTGCACCGGGTCGGAGGGATTCTTGTTGTTTTTGACACTTTACTTACTTGTGTGGACGCTGCTTACGCTGTGTGGTCAACACAGTCTGGATATGAAGGTGTGCCAAGCGAAGCTGTCCATGAACTCTATAGGGCCCACGGAAGTTATTGATCAGGCGCCACTGCCTTCCACTGAGACGGTACGGCTGAATCTAGTACAGTCGTTTTTAAGAGAAGAGTTTCGCATGATCGCTGAGAGGCAACCCACTGAGCTACTACTAAACTTCTGTCTGGAGTATTTCGGTTTCGTGTGGATTACTGGAGTAACGTACCCATTGCTTATTTACGACTCGTATGATGTGGGAAGATCTTGGATTTTGGCCTCACTTGTGGGGAATTTTGCTGTCGACATTATGGCACTGCTGGTGGGACGAGCACTGAGGGGAAGGACGCGCCCACTTTGTCTCGCCATCAGCCCCCAAAAGTCTATGGAAGGCGCCGTTGCTGGCGTTATTGCAAATGCGGTGGTCTTTGCATCAATAATATATTTCACGTGCAGGAGCAGTAATGAAGTCACTTCGCATTGGAACACTTTTCCTGTCAACCTTGTCGTCGGATTGATATTAGGATTGATGGGAGTTGTGGGCGATCTTCTGCAATCCCTGTTAAAACGAACGGCGCGAGTGAAAGATTCCGGGTTCATGATGCCAGGCCATGGGGGCGTGCTGGATCGAATCGATGGATTGTTAATTGTGTTTCCCACCATGTTCTTCTGTTTTCGCGTTATTCAGGCACTTCCTTGACAGGATAGCGCCTTTAAGTTGGTGCATATACCGTCTAAAAGTATAAAGCGAGAGGGTGTGCCTTTTTTTTCCCCTTTGCTTTCAAGGGGTGCTATTTTACGTTTTTTTTTTATTATTTTGCCGTATGCGATTTATTTGAATGATCCAGCTTGCCTTGCTTGGCCCTGATGGCTTTCCACATCCCCTTCATATTCTCTGGTGATCCGTGTCTTTGTGTTTATGAATGGCCTCTTGACATCAGAACCAAGCGTTGAAATATAGTGGGTGCTAACTTAAAATAGTTCTGAACATCTTGATACTCCTCTATTCACGAAAGATGGATGGTGCCACAGGTGAGTACTCCTTTGCCAACAGTACCGCATTGATGGAGGAAATCCAACGATCTGCCACCGCATTCTTGTGGGAGATGTGCGGCAACACGGAGAAGGGTCTATTGGAGTCGCTGCAGGGGCGGATACAAGGGCTATTCTCTAGTCGTGCGAGCAATGCGGAAGCAGACTTGGACGAGGTACTGCAAAGGGTCTACAGGCGGCGACTCCAGGAGGAAGAGGGAGCAAATGAGAGAACAAGCACAGCAGGTGAGGCGGATGGGGTCACATATTGGGTAGGGCGCCGGCCCCTTCCTGTAGTGACGGAGGAGGAGGTGAACGAGGCGATGGGGCAGTTGACGGAGGCTGAGCTCAAGAGACTTGAAGAAGAGTTCGCTGAGTCTCAGGATGATGGGTACGTGCTGCTTGGGAGGAATAGTTTTGCCTCGGATGGGGAAAAAGATGGGGCACCTGCCGACAAGGATAATGGGGTGCACAACAATGATAATAACAACAACGAGGATGCTGCTGGTGACGCTTATTTGGAGGTTGTGGAGCCACGCGACACCAAGAGTATGTTCTTTGGGGGACACACAGTAGAGCTGATGTTTGATGAGGCGGCGTGGCCGATGAGCGCAAGGGGCGCGGAGGGCACACCATTAGCAGATGATCTTGCGGGGGATGCCATGCCGCGGCGCTTCGTGTTCAGCTCCGCCCCATCGACTGTAAAGAGTCGGCCGCCGGAGCAGAGGTGCGCGGAGTACGTACGCAATCAAGTCCACATGATGCTGTTGGCGAATCGCGTTGCGAAGGATACCGAGCGGCGTGTAGCCGACGCCGCATTGCGTGCGTCAGCGGAGATCAAACAAGAACGCGACAAGGAGTTGAGCGCGATTCTGGAGCAGCTGGTGGGGGCGGTGCGTGAGGCTGTGCGGTTAACACGACTGATGCAGAGTCTGGATCGGCAAGCAATAGGAGAGTACGCGCAGGACCCGTACCGCACGCAGAATTGGTTGCGCAACGAGGCGGCCAGGTCGTGCCACAAGTGTGGCCGCACCTTCACCATCTTCGTGCGGCAGCACCACTGCCGGCGCTGCGGTCTCATCTTCTGTCAGCGGTGCTCCTCGCACGCCGGTATTCTCCCCGACAGAAGGGCCCAACTGCACTCGTCGCAGAATTGGGTGCGGCTCTGTGAGGACTGCTACGTGGTGTGCTGCAGGCACCAGCGCGGAGTGAGCGCTGCCCCCGTCGTGCCGCGCAGCTCCTACGAGCGTGACGGCCGCGCCCCTATGGATCTGTCGCTGCTGGTGCTGGCGGACTGCCCCAACCCCGGCGCCACGCTTGAGGACAACCTGCCGCCCTTCTACGTCGTGCTGCCGGAGGACTGGTACGCATTGCGTCCGACGACGGCGTCTGGGTGGGCCAACGCCGCCAGCAACGTGCCGTTCCACCTGCTGGAGGGGGTGCAGGACGGCGCCTGCAGGCTCTCGCGCGTGGTGGTGCCGCACCTGTACGGGTGGATGACGGGTGCTATAAATTCTGTGCAACGCATCAGGGAAAAAAAGTAAAGTTTTAGAAGTGGTGAAAGGTGGGGAGTGCTGTGGATATAGATGTAGGTGCAATATGAAGTTTCTATTGCTTTGCTAGTCTTTTTTTTTTGTGAGTTTTGCGTTGTCATGTCGTTTTCTTTTTAGTTTCCGAATGTATGCGCAGGTGTGCGTGCTGCTCTATAACTTCGATCAGTTGCTCCTGCAAAGCTGAGGTACCGTTCTTTCCTTTTGTTTCGGTGCGTTCTTCCGCCGCCGCCGCCACCGCCGCGCAGCAGCAGCGGGAGTGCACGGTGTGTGTGTGTGTGTGTGTGTGTGCTACTCCACACCCACACCCACACACGGACCCTTTTAAAAATCAAAGAAGACCCGTGCTCCTGGTGTTGTATGTCGAGGGTGCGTTGTGGCAACTCCGCCCCGCTCTCTCTCTCTGCTTCATTGAAAGAGGAGGCAACGGAGTAGAACGCAAAGGAGTCCCCTTACCACTAAAACAAAAAAAAGGAAATTGGCACACAGACACAGTAAAAGCTTTGCCCGTTAGTGGCGCTAATAGCTGCTGATGTTTTTTTTTTTTTGGTGGGCCATTTGTCCTTGTGTGCCACGTACGCGTTTCTTTGCATTTCTTTTCTTTTTCTTTTTTGTTGTTGTGTACGCTTGCAGTTAGGGGATTTGTTGCGAGTGCCGATAGAGTCATCTGCTCTGCATTGCGTGCCGCCGTCATGCCAGTGAAGCCGGCGTACGAATGGGAGCAGACCGATGACGAGGTGCTGCTGCGCGTTACCATCAAGGGCTTCAAGAAGGAGGCGATCGATGTGTTTCTGTCGGACGTGTGGGTAAAGGTAAACGCGGCGCCGACGTACCTTCTAGCGCTTGACCTCCTGCACCCGATTGATGTGGTGCGGTCAACGCACTACGTGGATCCAGTGGACCGCACATGTCTACGGCTGCGGCTGCGAAAACAGCAGCCTGGTGTGTGGTCGGACCTCTGCATCAGCGCTGAGGCGTGTGATGCCAACGCCCTGCGTGAGCGACGCGCCGCGGCGGCGAAACGGGCAGAGGAGGACTACAACCGACGTCTGCAGGAGCGTGTGGGGAAGCGGGAGGAAGAGAAGCGCCGCATGACAGAGGAGCAGTGGGAGGTTGAGAAGGCGCAGCGGCGTCTCATTGAGGGCCGTGTGAAGGAGGAGCGAGAGGCCGCGGAGGCGGATCTGTACTCGTGGGAAGACGAGCAGAAGCAACAACAGCATCAAGAAAGACAGCAGCAGCAGCAGCAGCAGCAGCAGCAAACCCCAGCGTCCGGGCAGGCGCCACGGTGCCCTGCTGATATCGCCGTGCCACACGTTGCGAAGGCCGACGAGACTGCACCGTCTGTGCGCCATACGGACACCATTGTTGTCCCCGTAGAGTTTACACCAAAGCTTGCGACAATGCCCACGCGTTCACGCGGGGAGGAGGAGTACTACCGACGCAGCCGCTACAAGCCGACGCGCATCGAGGACAGTCCTATGTTTTGGAAGGAGCGCGCCGACAAACACTACCAGCACCGCGAGTGGAAGGCCGCGGCAGATGCGTACACGGAGTCCATTAAGCGCGATGGCGCCTTTCTTACTTGTGTGTCGAACCGCGCCGCGTGCTTCATTCACCTCTTTGAGTACAAGCGCGCCATAGAGGACTGCACACTGGCCCTGACTATGCTGTCCAATACCCCGGCAAGCGAGCTGACACAGGAACGCTACCGCCATCTCATGGTGAAGCTGCACAGCCGCCGCGGTGCCGCATACTGCTGGGGTAACTGCTACGATCGCGGTGTCGAGGACCTGCGCGTGGCGGCCGCGTACTGCGACCCCAGTGAGGATGCGGACGTCCTTGCAGACTACAAGCTCGTCGAGGCGTACATGAAGGAACGCGGGCTGATTGAGACGAGGGATCCACTGGCAGCGCAGCTTCAGGAGGCATCGGCGCTGTATTACCGCGGCAACTACGCTGGGGCGGCCGCGATCTACCGTGACATTCTGCAGACAAACCCGTACGAGGTACGGGCGCACAACAACCTCGGCGCTGTGCTGATCCAACAGGGGCTGTTTAAGGAGGCACTGGAGGAGACGTCGCACGTGCTGCGCTTCTGTCAGGAGGTTGCAGACGCACTGAGCTGCCCCGGTGCGCTCTCCACAAATTTGGTTGACAGCGATGAAGATGATGAAGTTTCGGGTGAGGAGGTGGACGAGGTGGTGCGGCAGCGCAAAGCTGCGGTGCGGAAGGTGGGGGAACAGAGCGGACATGTGTACGCTCTGCTGAAGGCCTGCGTGCGGGGCGCCGCTGCGCACTGTGGGCTGAAGGAGTACCGCAAGGCACTCGCGTTGCTAGAGCAGGCGGTGCGGATTACGCCGTACGATGACGACCTGCAGGATGACTACAACCGTGTGGCGGAGAAGCTGCGACTGGAGACACTCGTAGCGGCGTCCGCAGGGGGACCATAGAATGAAAAAAAAAACAAAAGAGGTGAAGCGGCCTTTAGAAATGAGGACAGAGAATCGAGGAAATACAAACGAATGTGGAGGGTTTGCTTTAAGAAGATAGCTCGGAGACGGATGTATGTTGAAGATGGCAGATTGCTATCTATATTTATGCTTTATATTTATATATGTGGAGTCGTTTGTTTCTTCCAATGACTTAGTGCAGTCTCTTGTGCCACTTCTCTCACCAGTCTTCTTATCATCTCCTCCTCCTCTTGTGGCTACTGTTTCTTCTTTTTTTCCTTTTGTGCCTCTCTTGCAGCGCAGCCACTGTCGATGCTGGACGTGGCGGAGACCGATGAGGGCGAGGCTCTCACCGGGGCGGAGCTCTTCCACTACATCGCGACGCGAAACGAACAACAGCTGGCGGAGAACAGACGAAAAGTTAAGGAGTACACGCAGCTGCAGGAGGTTCTGCAGAACCTCACTGATCGATGTCGTCTTTCAATCTTAGCGCCCGTCGCGGGCGGCATGGCGTATTTTGAGGCGACTATGGACTACACGAACAACATCCTCGTCCTTCTCGGCGATAGCTGGTTTGCCGAGCGTAGCGCAAAGCAGGCGCGCGAGATTGCGGGTCGCCGTCTTGACTTCCTGTGCCGGGAGGAGGCGGCTCTCCTGGCGGAGGCGAGCGCGCTGCAGCAGAGGCAGAGTTTGTTCCTCTCGGAGATCCCCAACGCGGAGCGGGCGATGGCGGAAGTGGAGGCCGCCAAGGCGGGGGCCTTTCACGGCTGCAGCGAGAAGGGTGAGGGTTCAGCTGCACCTACTACCACTACTACTACTATCACCAATGCCACTGTTGGTGCTGGAGCACCGCCAATGGGGAAAGAGGGGCCGCTGCAATTAGGACTGGAGGATCAAGACTTAGCGGTGATTGATGAACTGGATCAGCTTACAGAGGACGAGCTTCTGCAGATTGAGGAGGAACTGGGGGATAAGATCGAGGATGATGAGTTGGTGGAACGCATCATAACAGAAAGAATCATTGCCAAGAAAGAGAAACGCGTGCGGGAGCAGTTACAAAAGAGCAAGGTGCGGGTGGTGCCCTTGGCCACAGGGGCGGAGGCTCCACCACAAAATATACAAGAACAACAACAACAACGACAGCAACAACAGGACCTATCGTTCACCTCCGCACCACCAAAGTTCAACGCCCCGGGGGATATTGGCCGAGCGGCCGCTGCTGTGGTGAGCGAAACGGTGGGTGTTGATTCAACCGAATCGGGCGCCGCCAAAAAATCAAAACGGCGCATCACATTCAGCGACGTTGTGGATGTCGTGCCCCCGGAGGGGCCGGTGACTGCCATGTCTGCACCGCTGAGAGGCGGGGATGTGCAGCTCTCCAGCGGCAATGTGCTTGGCGAGGTGGTGGAACACGCAGCGATGTCCTCACCACATCCCATACCTGTTGCTGCTGCTGCGCCAAAGCGGAAGTCACTCTTTCGGACAGAACTGGAGGGCGGAAAGTAGTAAAACATGCGGTTAATACTGAGAATATGCCATGTGGTTGCTATTCGATACTTTTTCCATTCCTCTGCGGTCACCAGGTGAGAGTCTGTGGAGGTGCACACCTTAATCCATGGTTTGCCCCTTTTGTTTTTTCCTCACGTTCTCGTAAGCAACCCTCTCCACTTCCCCTTTCTCATACTTGTAGCGCAACCGAACTGAAGCAAAGACCATGCAGGACGACACCTCCCCTCCATTGATGTGCGTAGATAACGAAACTCTGCTGCGGGACGTCCACCGCCTCCTCTTAGATACCAGCTACACCACGGCGGAGCTGCTGGAGAAGTTGGGCGACAGCACGCCCCTCCAAGCACTTCGGACGCCCCACTCGGCAAGACGCGTGACAATATCTGAGGAAGTGATTGTCTTCAATGACCACAAGCTGGAGTTACTCCAGCTGCCGCCTGCGCTGTCGCTTTTGTACTACGCGGCTGTTGCAGAGGCGCCCACGCGTGTGGTGCCCAATCTGCTGCACATACTGGAGGTCCTTGGTGAGCCCGAAGCTCCACGGGCCCGTGGCAACATCCTCTACGAGGAGGGAATGCGCAAGCGGGAGGAGACCGCCAAGTGGCGGAGCGAGCAGCTTAAAGCAACAGAGGATAAGGAGCTCAAAGCGTGCACCTTCAAGCCAGAGATATCGGATTCTGCCAAACAATTGGCGCCCAAGGGTCTCCAGACGTTTATGGAGAAGTGTATGGAGTGGAAAAAGGCGGCAGCTATGCGCCTACAGAAGAAAGCAGCACAGGACCGCATCAACCGTGGTGAGGATGAGTGGATGGCGCCTTGGAATATGAGTGACCACAGTCGAAAGCTGCTGGAACAGTCGGAGCAGAGGGGGAAGAAGTGGAGCAAGCTGTGGGAGTCGATAAGTCCACGCGGTGCCATCTCTCCCGACCTATCGACGAAACCAGGCACAGGAGCAGCAAGAAGAGGAACAGGAGGGGGCGGAGGAGGAGCTGGAAGGTTAGGGTTTGGTGCCGCTGCGCTTCATGATGAGGTGAATGAATTGGAGACGCTATCGTTTCACCCCGTGACAGGTGCGAAGATTGGGGATTCACTCGCGGCGCTGCAGCACTACGGTGAGGGCGAAGTGTTGGACGCCACGCAGGTTACAGAGAAGAGCGACCGGAGCAGTAAAAGTTTGGTGGAGGCATACCTGCAGCGGGTGGAGTCCGATAAGGAGCGTCGCAAGGAACGGCTAGAGAAGCTGCGCGCGTACTACGCCCAAAAGGCGAAGGAACAGCTGTACGAGAAAACCACAGGCCAGCCGCTGTTCGAGCCCAACGCGCTGCCGACGGTTATGAAGAACGGTACCCGCGTCAGTTTCAAGGACCTCAGCCGGGAGGAGCAGCAGGAGCTGGCGGCGTTGCTGCGGGTGCGGCGGCAGGAGTATGTGCTCACGCGGTACCTGCGCGCGCAACGCGAGGCGCAGCAGGGGAGGCCGCAGCGCCGCACATCCGACGAAATCGTAGTCGAGCTGCTGCGCCCCAGCCTGGATCG